GAGGTCCCGATAAAATTACATTCCTGCGGGTGTCTCTTTTCCTGATGTGCTGACCTTCATAAGCTAGAGAAGCTTAGTGGATTCCTTGTTCCTCTAACCATTCGAGAATTTCCTTGGCACCCAATATAGAACTGTTGAAAAGCAATTTCACTATTGGTTATGAGCCCAGAGTTTTATTAAGGTGAGATTTGAAATTTTTCTCCTAAGAGGGGCTCAGAAAACCCTGGGTAGCTCAGTTTGAACTTCTTTAACTCTTTCTTTCAGGAGACGGTGCTGCTCAGCACTGGAGAGGGAAAGCTGAATTTCTACCCTGAGACTGCCACTTAACCAGCTGTCTGACCCTTGAACGCTCTGTTAGCTATTTGATTCTCCACGATGTTTTTCCGCCTGTGTAAGATAGGGTGATAATTGTATCTTCCCCATGGAGTTGTGAGGTCTTGTAGGTGATTACTCATGGTGGGGAAGACAAACTTCAGGGCCCAGAAGGTGTTAGGTTTTGTTCTTATTGGTCATCAGGATCATCTGACACCTAGAGGGCTCCCACCCCTGTCCTTACGCGCTGCAGCACAAGGGTCCCCAACCTGTCCCCAACCTCTGGGGTCTAATGCCTGATGATCTGAGGCTGAGATGATGCAATAATAATAGAGATAAAGTGCACAATAAATGTAGTGCGCTTGAATTGTCCCCAAACCAACTCCCACCCCCAGGTTCTTGGAAAAATCATCTTCCATGAAACTGGTCCCTGGTGCCCAAAGGGTTGGGTACCGCTGCTTGAGCAGATTGCTCACTTTGCTCTTCTTGTGATTTTTCACTCTTCAGGAATCAGTGGCACTGTCTCTATGGTCCCCTGGGGGCAAAGTTTGGTGATTCAGGGAAATCAGTTCCCATCTGTCTCTATAGATGGGTAAAGAGAGAGAGATTGATCAAGGTTGGTGCGTAAAGCCCGTCCAGAGAGCATCTCAGGTGTGTGGGACCTCCCTGCTTCTCTCTTGGACTTGCGACTTACAAGTTGGGAAGTTTCTGAAGTGTCCTTAGTCATGTTCAGATAGAGAGCAGCGGTCATCCCTGGCCCAAGCACAAAGCCGCACACTCTCAGGGCGATGCTTGGCCTTAAACATCGTGGACTCATATTAACTAACTGGGTACCAGATGTAGCCCAGAAAGCAAAAACTTACTTTTCTCTCCTTGTCACTGGTATTCAGGATACACTTAAAAATTGAATTAGAGGTGCTTATCTCCTTTTTGGTCTGAAAACATGTATATTAAGTGAAATATAGTAAAAGCAGCCCCCCTTAAAGGCGTGCAGCTCTATGAATTTTGACAGATGTCCTCAGTGGTGTGACCACCCCTATATTTAAGACATAGGTCACTCTCCTCACTCCCAAATGTTTTCTGTCCTTCCTGCAAGCCCCTGGCAGCTGTGGCTGCTCTGTCTTTATCACTTCAGTTGGATTTTTTAAATCCCACTTGCCAGGAGTCCTGAAATTCTCTAGAAGACATCCATTGTTCCATCCGGTACTCACAAATGGTCCTGAACTCCCACAGGCCTCTGGCTCCCGCCCGGGAGCCTTGCTCTGGTCATTCATCTCTTTACTCAGCAGAGTCATCCAGCCGCTCTGCGGTCCAAGCCACAAACGTGTGCTGTGACTCAAGACACACAGTCCTTTTGCAGGTTCTCAGCTCTCTCGGGAGCCATGGCGTGGTTGGGAGATGACATGCACGAATACAGAGTTTAATAAAGAGACAGAGAATTAACCGGCCACGCGAGGCCGAAAGTCAGGACACGTCCCGAGACCGTGTCACGTTGTCGTTTTGGCTGAGCCTCGGGGACAGCCAGTGAGGGGTCCACAGGAAGGAGAGGGCAGCTCTGTTCTTGGGGGGGGGGCAGGAAAGGCCCCCCAAAAGCAGAGGCATCTGACTCCTGCCTGCCGTTCACCCTCCCCTTCTCCCCTCCCGCTCACTGAAGCCTTTGATTTCCTGGAACTGGAAAAAAATATTCCACTTCCTGAACTTTCATCACGGGCCCTCCGCTTTCTGTTCATTTTCATGACTGTCCTCGGCTTATTCTCTGGATCATTGCGTGCTGGCCTCCAGCCCCGCTGGACTTCTCATAAACCAGATCCTGGACTAGATTGTGCTTCCTCATCTCCTCCTAGGACCAGACAGCCAGGCCTTGTACAAAGAAGATGCTCCAGAAATCTCTTGTCAGTTCAATGACTGAGTTGGGCCTTCTGGGGAAAAACCTTGAGGGAGAGAATTCCTGGCCAGAACAAAGGGATGTCGTTAGGAAGATGCTTGAACGGCCACCATTGTTTATACTCCCAGGAATGACAGTGCAAGGGAGAAAGGAATTTTGGAGTATTGGAAGTTAAAGTGAACTTGATTTAAATCAAATTTATAAAAGATCTTAGCATGTAAGATCTCACACACACACACACACACACACACACATGCACGCAGAGACACAACTTCTTTGGTTTTTATATCCACCCCCTGGTTTGTGAAAGGAAAGACCCCATCTCGGTTTCCTGCCATCTTATTTTCCTTGGGAGAAGAGGCAGAAGAAACTTGAGAGGTCGGTGTCAGTGCTCAGTCTGTGTCTGCCGAGCAGCATAATGGATGCTCTCAGGCCTGAGTAGGATCATCCAAAGGATAAAATAAGAATTTGGGAGTCTGCCTGCCATATTTAGCCTGCCCTCCTCTTCTTTAATTTTATCCCCCCCACCCCCCACCCCAGGGAAACCTTGGTGGCATCCAATTTCCATTCCATTCTGTCTGCCGTGACTTTGTGGAGGCTGTTATCACATCCCCAAATCTCCTTTCCCAGCTTCTTCGGCGCCTTTCTTTTCTTTGCTAGAAAATCCATGGATTCTCACTCCCTTCTAAAACCTCCCCTGAATAGAAATCGGGTTATGTTCTCCCTACCTTGTGCTGGTCATTTCATCACCCCTCATTGCCCAGGCAGTTCAAACAGAAACCAGTGTATAAACAGAAATACTTAAGTAATCAAAATACTTGGAGCCATGAAAACAAGAGCTGGCCCATCATGCTAATAACTTCTCCAGGAGACTGGAGTGTGGCTGCCTTCCCGCCTAACCTGAACCTTTTCCAGGTGGCCAGGGACGCAGAGCACTGCCTGGAATCCGAGCCGAGTGACTTCAGACAGCCACTGCGCTTCTCTGTGCCCGAGTGTCTTCATTTATAACTGGATAGTGATGCTTTTCCCCTGACATTCTCATGTGTTGAAATGTTAAAGTAACACGCACGAGCAAAACATTGATTATGGGTACGTAGTGCTTTGAGAGAGGCCCTTGGGAAAACGTCGGTCCCATTTGCTTATGGGTGCCAGTTTCCAGGGATATTCCATCCAATCAGTTGCCAACAGAAGTATATGGTCTGCTCTGTTTGAAAGTGGGACAGGGCATTGGGGGCATTCAGATTAAAACCACAATGAGGTATCACCAACGTGTATCTGAATGAGTAAAGTCAAAAAGTAGTGATGACACCAAAATCTGGTGAAAATGTGCATAAGTGAGCTCATTCATACATTGCTGGTGGGAATGTAAAGTGGTATAGCCGTTCTGTATGCTACTTTGGCAGTTTTTTTGTAAAACTAAACATCTAATTACCACGTGATCCAGCAATTGCACTCCTGTGTCTTTGTCCCAGAGATGGATACTTATGTTCAGGTAAAAACTGTGCATGAATGGTCATAGCAGCCTTATTTATAATAGCCAAAGAATGGAACATACTACAAGTCCTTCAGTGGGTGAATCAAAACAGACCGTGGTACATCCATGTCATGGAATATTACTCAACAGTGTGAAGTAACCAACGATGGATAAACACAACAACTTGGATGAATTTCCAGGGAATTATGCTGAGTGAAAACAGCCCATCTCAAAAGGTTACCGTGTGGGTTCATCGGTGAGGCATGCTTGAAATGACAAAAATTGTAGAAATAGGAAACACATGAGCGGATGTCAGGGGTTAGAGACAAGGGGAGGAGACTGAAGGATGGTGGATACGGTTATAGAAGATGCTTGTAATGATGAGACGGTTAGTGTTTTGACTGTGGTGGTGGCTATGTGGAACCACGCGTGTAATGAAATTGCTGGAATTAAGTACACGTACACACACACACAGGAGTACAAGTGAAACACGGAAATCTGAACAAGACACATAGATTATCAATGTCAATATCCTGATACTGTATGATGGTTTTATAAAGTGTTACCATTGAAGGACGCATGGCAAAGGGCGTGCAGGATCTCTGTATTATCTCTTACACCTGCATGTGAATCTCCAGTGATCTCAGACTAAAGAGTTTGATTTAAAAAAAGATTGAGGCAGGATTCAGAGCCCAGGTGGTCAAAATTCATCTTGTCAGTGTTTTGAGGAGCTGATGCTGCAAAGGTGTGTTAGAACTGGGAAGGCAGTCTTTTCAATCGCTCTGATATGACAGCCTTTGCCTGCCGAGGAGGAAGAGGGTGGAGAGTATGAACAGAGCATCCCACAGCTAGACCTGACACAACAGGGTGGATTTTGGTGGTCCTTCCTCTCTATTAAGGTTTGATGAGCTCCCTGGATCCCAGGACCCAGAAACTAGCACAGCCGCATCCCTTAGAGGAGGAGCAGAGAAGAGAAACGGGTCAGGTTGGAAGCACTGTTTCCCTCTCACGCCCTGGGGCTCGGTCTGGATGCGGCCCCTGCTCCTGCAGCCTTGGCCATGAGCGGGTTGAGTTTGGGATGCTGCCACACGTGAGCACCGTTGGCAGGCACACTGGAAATAGCCCTGGGCAGCCAGGTTATTGGCAAGCCTCTTCTCCCCCGACGTTAACCCAAAGCAAAGGCTTGTTCTTATTTCATGACAGATGACATTTGATAACTGGGACTCCGACTCTTGGGCTCTCTCGGGGGAGCTTTTCTCTCTTGAGAGTGCATGCCAGGATGGTATAGGCTGGTAATGGTGGCACATGATGGCCATCTTTTCTTTAAAGTCGTAGGACAGTCACATCTGGACGGCACCTATGAGGATCAAGAGATTGTCACTAATCCCCCGGACATCTGCCAAGTTGTGGAGGTGACCACCGAGAGCGATGAGCAGCCGGTCAGCATGAGTGAGCTCTACCCGCTGCAGATCTCCCCCGTGTCTTCCTACGCAGGTAAGGGGGTGGGTGGGTCAGAAACTGCCACTGAACGGGGAACAAGGCGGGGAGGTCCTTTAGTCTAAGGTCACCCACTTCACCAACACAGCAGAGAGCCACTCCTCCATCCTGAGGATTACTCTGGCTGGAATTATTCTGGCTTTAATGTTCTCAACCAACGTCTTCTTAGACACTTTTATTCTCAGGTCCAAGTCTTGGTCACAACATTTCTCTTGATCACCCGTAACATGTTCACACATGACTAATGGATAAGAAGATTTCTTTGGGTAGGGGGGGAGTGTGTTCAATTTTATAGATGTTACAGCAAGATGTTACAGAAAAACCGGGACGAAAGTTTTAGCCAGTGTAATAGTTCATCTACGTCTGTTTTATTTGCACACGTTATCAGAAATTTGTAAGGGTGTTTTTCATGGAATCTGAGTTTGTCCCACCTGGATAGGATCTTAGGGGTCACCTCTTCCAGCCCCTTCATCGGAAGTGAAGGAGTCTCTCCAGGCCAGAAGTGTTTGGCTCAGAACTTGAGCTGAACCTGCAGACCCCACGTTCCATTCCGTCGTTCCACCAAGTTTCCTTGTCATCTCCACATAGGTTCCACTTCTTTTTTCAATTTAACAAAGCTTCTCATTGGGCATTTTTAACTCTCCAGGGAATGTCCCCAGACTGGAAGAAATTGGCCGCGATGTCACAGGGTTAGGACCAGATTCAGCAGGCTCTCCCATCCTTAGAAGATAAAGAGGTGGCTCCCTTCCCCCACCAGCATTACCCCATACCCTCCGTCTGATGATCTCCTCTTGACTTTTTTGGTACTCAGTTATAGTTATGAAATATAAGGTCTGAGTTAGGGTTATTCCTTGCAGATACCACAGGAAAAAGAGGACGTCCTCTGACGGGTAACCACAGTTGCTCGGGTCAGGAATTCTTCCCAGTGCTCTTTATGTGCTGCCAAGTAGCATGTCCTTCAATCCGGGCACCACCCCAGTGACTGGCACAGAGTCGGCTTCAGAATTGGGTGGATTCATGTGACACATTGTTTGTACATTAGCAGCCCCTAAATTAACTTTCTGTTTCCTGAACCCCAGTTTGCTTTCATGTCACCTTAATTTTTTTCAATTGTGGTAAAATATCCGTAGTACAACATTTACCACTTTAGCCTTTTTTTGGGGGGTGGGGGGCATGCCGTGTGCCCTGTGAGATCTTGGTTCTTCGAGCAGGGATGGAACCCATGCCCCTGCTGTGGAAGCTCAGTCTTAACCACTGGACCGTCAGGGAGGTCCCCCCACTTCAGCCCTTTTTAAGTGCACATTGCAGCGGCATTCAGTGCCTTAACAGTGTTGTGCAAGGAGCACCCCGTCCATCTCTAGAACCCTTTCACCTTACGAAACTGAAACTCGGTGCCCGATATACAGTAGCTCCCCATGCCCCTCCCCCCAGCCCCTTGGAAGTCCCCCTTTTACTTTCTGTCTGTCTGCATTTGGCTATTCTATGTGCCTCCTATAAGTGCAATCATACAGTATTGGTTCATTGGTGACTGGTTTATTTCACTTCGCAGAATGTCCTCAAGGTCCTGACTTTCTTTTGTGCCGCAAACATAAAAGGAAAGTGAGAAGCAACCTTGGCTACAAGAAGCCTATAATCTGCCAAACAGGCTAAGCTTGTCATCAGTTATTTATTCATGAAACATAGTTTGAACTCCTGTGTGTACCAGTCCCTGTAATAGGAACTATAACGATACTGTTTGTTGCGTGTTCATTGTGCCCTGGAAACTATGCAAAGTGCTTGATGTTGACTGGCTTATTTAATTGTCAGGAGAATAACCCTGGGTACTGTCATTATTCTGTCTTTAAAAATTAAGTATCTAAGGCTGCTGGGGTGAAGCCATGTGTCCAGAGATGGACAACCTGTAGCACAGTGGGACCCACGCGTGGCTGATGCTGTTCTTGGCCCTTGCACTGCGACGCTGCCCTGCAGGAACTCATGGGGCTCGGCCATTCAGAGCGGTCCACATTCCAGGATCTCAAGGGCCAACCAAAGGAGGCAGAGCCAAATGTTTATGCCCTGATTTTACAGTGGAGATAACTGAAACCTGAAACAGTCAGCCACTTGGCTTTTGTTTCCCTGACCATGGCTGAAAATGTGTGACTTTTCTCTGTATCATGCACTGCAGGCATTATTACATCCTTTTTTTTTTTTTTTAAAAAAAAAAAAAAGGGGTTAGCGCTTTAGAATCGACTTTTCTATTTATCTGTTGAGTAAGAGTTTTCTGAAGTGTTCTTGGGGGTTCTGGAAGGGCCTCTTCTTGCTGTTCTGCCAGCAGTAGCATTTTGCCTTCACAGAAGAATCCCAAGAACAGCTGATTCATGCAGAGAGAAATGAAAATGTCATTACCCTTTTAGGACATTTGAAAGATTTGAAAAGAAGGGTTTTAATGCCAGGCTGGCAGGCAGCGGGGGTTTGCTTGGAGCCTGGTGTTTCAGCCTGGCCTTTATTTCTTTCCATTGTTTTCATTGTCTGAATTCTCCAGAACCCTTTGCGGGGAAGCTTATTGGATAGAGCCAAGATAAGTCATCACTGCTCCTTTCTAGAACCCACGACACACCAGAAACTTATCTGTTACTGACCATGGGTAGCTAAAATCTTTCAGTCAGGAATTCCATAGCTTGCTGCTAGGAAAGACAGCTTCTTGGTTGTATTCCTTTTTAAACTTGATGGTCTCCACAAAAAAAATAGGCTGTTTGCCTGTTTTCCATGACAGGGTCCCTTTGTTTGGACTATTCAAGTGAATTTCAGCCTCCTCTAACCACTTTCATTCATTTAGGAAACTGGTATTTGGAGGCAGTTGTTTGCTATTTTTTCCCTCTCTACTGATCATTGAAATAGAATCCCAGTAGTATTACAAAAATCACATTCACTGTTGCAAGTTGGTCTTCTCCGTGGTCTAAATATGATGTTGAGCAAGAAAAGGGACAGTTTATTTGAGTGGAGGGACATACTTGCACTGTGGGCGTCCCTAGTGGCACAGCGGTAAATAATCTGCCTGCAGTGCAGAAGACGTGGGTTCAACCGTGGATTGGGAAGAGCTCCTGGAGAAGGAAATGGCAACCCATTTCAGTATTCTTGCCTGGGAAATCCCATGGACAGAGGAACCTGGTAGACTGCAGTCCATGGGGTCTCAAAAGAGCTGCGCATGACTTTACTGAGCACACACACTTGCATTATGTTGCTTGAAGACAGCATGCAATTCTAGTTGGATTCATGAAACTTCATTCTGGGGAGGGATGTCCCAAAGCCCAACCTTGGGAAACTCTAGAGAAGAGTCCTTTTTATTTTTAAATATCCCAGTGTGTGAACAGGGATCATTTATTATGTTGTTGGTGGTTTAGTAAGAAAAATCACAGTAGTATTGGGGGGGAAGGCTGGATGAGAGGATGGAGAAGACAGAAGACAGAGGGTTGATTTGTGATAATTGAGAGAAGGGAGATCAGCCACCAGCAGAAAAGACTTTGGGTCCTTCCAGAAACCAGAGAAGGCGTGTGTTTTGTTGGGTGCAGCAAAAATAAAAGTGCTTTAAGAGGACTCTGGTTTGAAGGACTTCCCTGGTGGTCCAGTGGTTAAGACTCTGCCTTCCGATGCATGGGATGCAGGTTTGGTCCCTGATCGGGGAACTAAGATTCCACCTGCTATGGAGCAACTAAGCCTGTGTGCTGCAACTGGAGAGAAGCCCGCATCCCATAACAAAGGACCCCACACCACAGCTAAGACCTGACGCGGCCAAATACAGAAATTTTTTTTTTTTTTTTAGAGAGGGGTCTGATTTGAACCTTTTCATTGAGACTTGTAGTGAAAGTCATTGAGGAAGTGATCGAGGGAAAAAAATCCTTGTCAATCTTACTACTAAAACTTGTTGAACAAGTCTTCCAGAAAATGTACCAAGATGTCATTGTGCAAAAGGGCTGTGATGGAAGACGTGTTGTCTCCTTCCAGATTATGTTCCTAAGATGGTCTGACAATAAAAACTGGGCTAAGGGGACTCCCCTGGTGGTCCAGTGGTTAAGACCATGCTTCCACTGCAAGGAGCATAGGTTTGATCCCTGGTCAGCAGACTAAGATCCTGCATACCAGGTCACATAGCCAAAAAATGGAGCAAAAAAAAAAGAAAGAAAGAAAGAAACTGGGCTACGTGGAGAGTAAGCCTAAGACTAGGATCACTGTAAAACTGCAGGTCCTGAAGGAAGCACCCAAACCTCCCCCTTCCCTCTCACCCCGGTTGCTTCTGGGAAAACGGAGATCAGAAAGATCAATCAAACTGCTTAGGTACCTGCTATTACTCTGTAAACCCTGCAGCTTACTCAGACCGTGCTTAGGAGGCAACTCCCAATTTTTCTTTTTTATTCCATTTTACTCAAAGCAAATAAAAAACCAAACTGAAATTAATGAAAAGGAAAACTAAAACAACTCATATTGATGTGTCAGCAGCAACATTGATCTGGAAGCAGCAGCTGCTGTGAGCTTGTTAGTTCTGTGAAAATACCAGTGGTGAAGTAAAACCCAAGAAAACAGAGGAAGATAGGTATGCGTGGCCCCCAACAAAGCACTTTGAGCCAGTGACCCAGGAGTCGCTGGAAGTACCGCTGTTCTAGAGAGAAGGGTTTGAGATCCTCAGGCTGGGGCTTCAAGCATCTTTTGCTCCTAAGCTGAAGGCACGCAAGGCCGTTCTTTTAAGTACTAAAAGCTAGAATAATCAGGGACTTCCGTGACGGTCCAGTGGTTAAGACTGCACACTTCCAATGCAAGGGGCAGGGGTTTGATCCTTTGTCCAGGAACTGGGATCCCTCATGCCATGCAAAGCATACAAGAAAATACTTAAAAAAAAATAAGAAATCTCAGTTTGCTAATGTGGAGATTCTTCAAAACTGCTTCAGAGGGAATTGACCTTCCTTTAGATGTGATGCTTTTCCGCTAACACTTGGGTCAGCTGAAAACAGAAGTTTGGAGCATTTGTGTCTCCTCTTGGCTCCAGCAGTTTCCCTGAAGTTGTACTTACAGGTGGATGACATTCTGATCCCATTCATGGTCATGCCAGGTCCCACCACAGAGTCTTCCCAGAGACTGCATCCCAACCCCTCCTGCCTTGGTGATTCAATCCCCTGCTGGCTTTTGCCCATTTCCAACAAGCCTGGTGGTATCCTGTGTTTATTTGAAGGGGAGAGGAACAGAAGATGAAGTATTTCTGGAGGGTGATTAGGAGGAATTGGAAGGGCTGGACCTACAGGAAAGGAAGAGAAACCTCGACTTTGGAGCCCTAAGAAGCTAACGCTCAAAACAGAAAGGGGATCTTGAAGTTTCATGGGAGGTCGGAGCTGCAGGAGAGCCTCAGTGCCCGGGGCCCGGGGATCAGAAGGCTGGTCTGTCTTCCCTCCCTGCGCTGACTCAGACCACCACACTTGAGCTGATTTCTCAACATCTCTGTTCCGCTTTTTTCCTTGGGAATGGCAGTCACTGATTTCTGTCTCCTCTTCGGAGTCCTGGGCTAGCTGGAAGATTAAGCCAGGAGGGGCCTTTCCCTTGCCGTTGTCTTTACAATAATGTACTTTTGTGGGGAAGGGTCTCTTGTGCCTGGCGTTGCTGGTTTGCCCCGATAAAGAGGGTCAAGCCTTCCCAGGCGCTTGCTGCCCCTGCTGGACGGGCCGGTTTTCTGGCTGCAGATGGTCAGTCCTCTGCGGTGAAGTCCCCAAAGTATAGTGACCGAGAACGGTGCTCAGAGGCCCCAGGTTGGGCCCCGTGTCGTCACTTTCGGCTTCTTCGTTTGAAGAATGATTCTGTGCCTCAGTTTGTCCGTTTGTTCCCTAGCCTTTAGTTCACGGAGGGGGCTGGTCTAGGACTGGTGCTCTGTGTGGTTGGAAGGGCTCTGTGTGGGCTGGGGGGGCTACCTGGTCACAGCATGCCACCAGCAAGGTTGGAGGCTGGAGGCCAGGGCCTCTGTAGGTTTGGAGTGGAAGGGCTGGAAGCCACAAGAGCACGCAAGATCTTCTGCCCAGTGAGGGTGGGGTGGGGTGACAGGACCTGCTTCCTGACTTAGGGTCCCTGAGAGATTGAATGAGACCTGCAGGCAAAGTGCAGGCCCACGGCTCACTAGCCCCATAAGCATTCACTGATACGGCTTCCCTGCCGGCCTTGTCTGCAAAGTGAGTGACCCCGAGGGTGACCTCTAAGGGTCCCTGTCTTTTGGAAGTTCTCCTTTCTGTGCGTTCATTTCTCGATGCTGTGAACCCTGAAAAACTGCACGCCATCAATTTTGCATCTGAACACTTACAATTTTTTTTACTTAAAAAAAAAATCAAAAGTAGTTTGCTTAAAAAAAATTTTTTTTTTTTAATATTTTTACTTAAATCTTGGGGCTTCCCTGGTGACTCAGTGGTGAAGAATATACTAATACCTACCGATGCAGGAAACTCAGGTTTAAACCCTGGTCCAGGTAGATCCCACATGCCGCAGAGCGACTAAGCCTGTGCATCACAGCTACCCAACCTGTGGTCTAGAGCCCAGGAATGGCAGCTACTGAAGTCTGGAGCATACCTGGAGCACGTTCTCTGCAACGAGAGAAGCCCACGCACCTCAACTGTGGAGTAGCCGCTGCAACTAGAGAAAAGTCCGCACAGCAATGAAGACCCAGCCCAGCCAAAAATAAATAAATAAAAAAAATTTTTTTAAAAGAACACTGGTAAATTACTGAAAAAAAAATAATCTTGTATTCTGTGCACGAGTGATGTCACCTCTAGCTGTTGCCTGATTCTGTTCCCCTAGTATGTGGTACAGATCCAGTGTTGCAGGAGGCTAGTGAGCTCAGGACAAAGGCACTCCAGTATTCACTAGATGTGGGCTGTGTGCCAGGCCCTGGGCTGAGCATGGCATCCTCTTTGGAAAGTGCTTCTATTCCCATTTTACAGATAGGGAAAACTGTGTCTCCGTGAAGTCAAGTCACTTGCTCTGTCTCTCAGAGCCGGCAGGCTGAATCAGGGTGGTGACTGAGTTGGTTGTCTCTTGCCGCCTATAACTACAAACTTAGTGCCTGAACACAACACACTTTATCATCCCACAGTTGCTGAGGGTCAGGAGAGCAGGCGTGACTTGGCTTGGGTCTTCGGCTCGGGGCATTCTCTGCAGAGACCCGCAGTCTAGTTCTGGGCCAGGGCTGCTGTCGCATCTGAGGATGGGATCTGGGAGGGTCTGCTTCTAGGCTCACACAGTGTGGGGCAGAATGTAGTTCCTGGCAAGTTGTCATCCTGAGGGCCTCAGCTTCTTGCTGGCTGTTGGCTGGAAGCAGCCCCTTGGTCGTCTGTCTGGGTGCCTCCCTGCCGTGGTGGCCTGCCCCCTCAAGGCCAGCCAGGGAGGTCGTCGCCTCGTTAGACGGGGTTTCAGACTTATGTAATGTGATTGCATACAGCCCGTCGCCTCTGCCATGTTCTGTAGGTTTCAGAGCAAGTCACGGGCCCCGCCTGCCCTCTGGAGGAGGGAACCCCACGAGGAGGTAAACACAGCAGTTTACTGAGGCTCACAGGACCCCCCACCCCCACCCACCCCCAGAATCTGTGCATCCACAGCAAGCCAGGGGGAAGATAAACTCCTTTATCCATCCAGGATATCAGCACTGAGGGGCTGGGAGGAGACTGGGCTGGAAGGGAGGGACCTGGGGAGACCGGGCTGGGATTTAAATGAACCAGCTGCCATCCAGTGGGGCCTGGATGGAGCAGCCTCAAGGAAAGGGCCTGACGCAGAGGCGGGAGCTGGCAGTGGACCAGGGGGGCAGACGGGCATCCGGGGGTCCAGCACCGCACCCCGGGAAGCAGAGACCATGAATAAACATAGCCTGGCCCTGGGAAAATGAGCCACCCCTCCCCCCTCAACCTTTTCTGCGACGGGGCAGAACTAGAGAAATCCAGTTCTGCTCCGGCACCTCCCAGGTGCACGCATTTGACCTGAGCACAGGGGACAGAGGTTATGAGTTTAGTGACCCACTTCTCTTTGGAAGAAAAAGTTGCTGATATATATATAATTTTTTAAAACACTGCCTGAGCCTCCATATGATTTGAGCGGCAGGAATGATGGGCCTGTGTTTTTCTCTCTGTGAACAGAAAGCGAAACTACCGATAGCGTGCCCAGTGACGAAGAGAGCTCGGAGGTAAGCATGGCCTGGCGGGGCGGCTGTCGCCAGCAGGCGCTGGGACAGAGCCTTCCCAACCAGCACGGTGGTTTCCTCGTAGCTAGTGAAGGTTCTTTTCTTTTGATCATGAGTTTCATTTGCGGTTTTTTTTTTGGTGGCGGTGGTGGTGGTGGTGGAGAAATATACACAACGTAAAATTGACAGTGCTTTTGGATTTCAACTTACAAAACGAGGCTTTGGGAACTGAAGGGGAGGGCTCAGTAAGAAAGGAGGCTGTGATGGCAGGAAAAAGCCAGGAAACGCTGATGTTCTTAGCGCAATAAACATCCGACTCCGTGAGCAGAAACAGAAGGTCCAGGAGGCCCCGGGCAGTGATGAGAGATCAATGTCAGGAAGCGCTTTAAGCAGGAGCAGCTCTCCACGTCCCTAGAGTCCCTGCCACCCGCGATCCTTGCCCACTGGCCAAGTGCGTGTTCAGTCGGATTCTGAGTCCCTCTCCTGTTCTTCTTCGTCTGGCTGGGTTCTGACAACGGCAGGCAAGGCCCTGACGGTGAGCGAGAGCATTCCTCTGAAGCCTGCCTTGTGTCTGCGTTGGAGTCAGTTACAGACAGACTGCCTAGCGGTTGTTTGAATTAGCGATTTCCCAGGGTGCGCACTGCTTCCAAGGATAGCCCAGGAATTCTGAAAAGACAGTAGGTGCAGATGCGCACACACATTCAGACCCTGTTTCTTCAAGGTCAGAATTCTAGGTTCTTCCCTGAATGGCGCCCACACCTTGGAGCCAGCTGTTGGCAGCACGCTGGAGCTCTGAACTGCACCCATCTGAAAGCGATCCAGGGACATTCCCTGTCTATTACTGAGCACCTCACTTGCCTCCCTCTGAAAAACGCAGCTGGACTCAGGGATCCGGTGGGACCATTATGAAGACCTGGTCGCCCTCTCGCACCAGCCATCCTGGCCCAGAGCTTCCTAACAATCAGGCCAGGCAGCTGGCGTTAGAGGGGAACCAGAAACCAAGCTGCTGCCTCGTTTTCCTGCCTTCATAGAATAGTCTCGGTTAGATTTCTGGGAGGTGGGCGATGGGCATTGATGATAAAAAAAAAAGGGAGGGGAAGAGAAACTGTGTTTTGGGGGCATGTGTGGCTGGGGATAGCTCTCAGTTCAAGGATGTGGAGTCAGTCAGCTTCTCGTTTATTCCACGCCTCTTAAGTTCAGACACTTAACCCGTGGGGAGAAGGAGCCGTGTTTTAAAAAGCCATTGGAGAAAGGGCAGAGGAAATACCTGTCATCGTTCTTTTCTTTGCAAGGGTCGGCCACACTGGCGGAAGAGGAACATTGAAGGCAAACAGTACCTCAGCAACATGGGGCCACGGAACACGTACCTGCTGCCCAGCATGGCCACCTTCGTCACGTCCAACAAGCCCGACCTCCAGGTCACCATCAAAGAGGAGAGCTGCCCCGTGCCTTACAACAGCTCCTGGCCCCCGTTCCCAGACCTCCCCCTCGCCCCCTCCATGAGCCCCACGCCCAGCAGCAGCCGCCCGGACCGGGAGACCCGGGCCAGCGTCATCAAGAAGACGTCAGACATCACCCAGGCCCGCGTCAAGAGCTATTAATAAGCCTGCGACTTCCCCTGGTGGTTGTCGGGGTTTCTTGGCTCTGTCTTTATCGTTTGTTTGTATTTTATTTTTCTCTCTGACACCTGTTTTAGACGAATCTTAAGGGAAAAAGCCTTGACAAAATAGAACATTGATTGCTGTGTCCAACTCCAGTACTGGAGCTTCTTTTTAACTCAGGACTCCAGCTTCGTGGTAGACGCGTTATCTCTAGAGCCTGCTGGATCTCCCAGGGCTGCTCCCTCAAGTTCAAGGACGTCATAGGACCAACCCCCATACGGGCAGTGAGGTGCTGCGTTGCCCGTGGTCAAGGCCAGCATGGTGGAATGGATGCCTCCACATGGAGGAGAAAATGTGAACTAGCTGGAATTTTTTATTCTTGTGAATATGTACATAGGGCAGTACTAGCGACGTTGCAGTCTGCTTCTGCACCTTATCTTAAAAGCACTTACAGATAGACCTTCTTGTGATCCTGCTCTGTTTCACAGCACAGTCAGCACCCCCTTCCCTAGCCTTCTTCCCTCCTCCCCTCCCACCCCTGGCCCTTCATCCCTTCCCTTCCCATCTCTTTTCCTTCATCCCCTCCCCTCCCCCCTCTCCCATTCATTTTCTTTCCTCCTCTTCCTCCCCTCAAAGGCCATGTTCCACATCCCTGAGGAGGAGAAGAAGACAATGAACTTCTCCACCGATGTCCCATTTTAAAAGACTGCTTTAAAAAAAAAACAGCAAAAAAAAGAAAATCTTTCTAATCTGCTATGCTTGAATGCCACGCGGTACAAAGGAAAACTATCATGGAAAGATTATGCAAATTCTCAGATTTGAAGACAAAAATACTCTAATTCTAACCAGAGCAAGCTTTTTTATTTTTTATACAGGGGAATATTTTATTCAAGGTAAAATTCTAAAGAAAATATAATTGTTTTTTATCTTTTCTACAGCAAATTTATAATTTTAAGATTCCTTTTCTTGTTTATCGGCAGTTATTACATCCTTGTGGCACATTTTTTTTTTAATTTTGTAAAGGTGAAAAGCTTTTATGAGCTCATGTAGCAATCAAATTATCCTGTGGATTGATAATAAATGAATATGATATATAGTTAAATTTTTAATAGGCATCACGCCTGGTTTTGTCTGTGTGTATCTTAGAGGACAGTCATGGGACAAGACTGGCAGGGGTATCATTTCTTCTGGCGGACTGGAACTTTCCCCCTTTCCTTTTCCTTTGTGTAAATCATTCAGTCATGTCCAGCTCTTTGTGACTCTATGGAGTGTAACCCACCAGGCTTCTCTGTCCGTGAGATTCTCCAGGCAAGAATACTGGAGTGGGTTGCCGGGTGCATCTCCAGGGGATCTTCCCAACCCAGGGATTGAACACAGGTATCCTGCATTGCAGGATCTGAGCCACCTGGGGAGCCCTGAGGATACGGATGCCTTCCTTTGCTGGGTGTTCGCCGGGAGCTGGATCCTGTGCTGAGTGTTGTCTTACATGACGATTTCACCTCTTCACTCATCAAGGTTGTGCACAGGATAGAGATTTATCTCCATGTCACAGGGAAGAAATGGAGACTGGAAAGGAAAATGCCTTTATGCAAAGCCTCACAGGTAGTAAGTGTCTGAGGCTGGTGTGATTATGGAGGGAGTCTTCTTCCCCCTTTCCACTGCTCTCTACTGTTAGCAAATTCCACACACATCTGCGTTTTTCTTGTTCTTAAACATATTAAAATTATGTATTTATGTCACATCCCAAGCTCACGGATAAGACATTTTTGGTAACAGGAGATATTTGTTGGATTCCTCCTGGCTCAGTCTACTTTCTAAGACCTGGGGCCTCAGCCCAAGGCCCTGCCCTCAGAACTTGAGGCATATCTTTTCGAGTGAGAAATGTGAATTCCAGAATCCCAGACTCCACCACCGACTCCGTGACCTCGGGGAAGCCACCGGGCTCACCCCTCACGCTTCCACAGTGTCCGTAAAATCAATCTGTGGAGCTTGGCCCCCTCCCTGTTACCCCTGGGGCTTGTGCAGGAGATTGCTGGGTTAATATTTGAAAAGGTTCCTTCAGTGAAAGGACAAAGGGCTAATTTTATGCCTCCCTCTGTGTGTGGCTGCAGATAGAATTAGTGGCCATAAAATTACCCAGCCCTGAACAAAAAATGAGCTGAAGCATGTTGCTGGTTGCTGTGCTGTGGCTGAAATGCCAGGCTGGACAGTTGGCTGCTCCCATGAGGAGCACCCAGGTGACAGTGGGTTTACCTCCCCTTCAAGAAAAGCCTCTGCAATCTCGGCGAGAGGAGAAGCCACAGGGAGGAGGGGTGCCCATCCTCCTCGGCTCCGTGCCCTTCACTGAAGACCTCGCCTTCTCCCAGGTTCTGGACAAACAGGTCCAGTTCTTTGCAACTTGTATCTAAATCCTTCTACTCAGCCACCCTGCGTTAGAATCAATTAAAAACCAGTAGCAGAAGGCGGTTCTCGATCACGTGGCCTGGAGATGAAAGGGCAAAGGGGAGATCCTCTTGACCCCTTTCTCTCTTCCAAACACAGAGGGACCCCCCCAACTCTCTTCCAGGCCTCTCGGCAGCTCTGCAGGGCCCAGAGGCCGCTCTGTGCGCTTCTGCCGACACTGGTTGTGACCAGACAGGCAGCATCTCAGCAGGTGAGAGACGATGAGAACTGGAAATGCACCCCTGAGGGGCCTGTAGATAACCATCCGTGGCCAAGAAGATGCAGGTTCGATGCCTGGGTCAGGAAGATCCCCTGGAGGAGGGCATGGAAACCCACTCCAGCATTCTTGCCTGGAGAATCCCATGGGCAGAGGCGCCTGGCGGGCTACGGTCCATGGGTCACAGAGTCGGAGACGGCTGAGCACGCACACAGAGCATAGCCAAGAAGGCAGGAGAAGCAGAATGATGTTTAAATTATTTCTGAGAAAGGGCATGTTCCGTCATGCTTCTGAGTGTCACTTGCCAGGAGTGTAGGGAAAGAGCCCCATGCCTGGGGTTGGCCTGAGGAAGAAAAACAAGTGAGACGGGGCATCTCAGGGACTCAGCCTCAGACCTCATTGTCCGTTACAGGAAGTGCTGGGGACACGTGCTGCTTTTGGCTGGCGTCTGTGTGAGCTGATATGCTTTTGTGATGGGCTTGGGTGTGTGTGTGTGTGGATACGCTTTTATGGTGGGCTTGGAGGAGGGGGTGTTGATATGCTTTTATGATGGGCTTGCTCTGTATGTGTGTTTGTGTGTTGACATGCTTTTATGATGGGCTTGGTGTGTGTGTGTGTGTTGATATGCTTTTGTGATGGGCTTGGGTGTGTGTGTGTGGATACGCTTTTATGGTGGGCTTGGGGGGGTGTGTATGTGTGTGTGTCAATATCCTTTTATGATGGGCTTGGTGTGTGTGTGTGTGTGGATATGCTTTTATGATGGGCTTGGTGTGTGTGTGTGTGTGTGTGTATGTTTTTATGATGGGCTTGGTGTGTGTGTGTGTGGATATGCTTTTGTGATGGGCTTGGGTGTGTGTGTGTCGATACGCTTTTATGGTGGGCTTGGTGTGTGTGTGTGTGCGCAGTGATACACTTTTATGATGGGCTTGGTGTGTGTGTGTGTTGATATGCTTTTGTAATGGGTTTGGGGGGTGTGTGTGTGGATATGCTTTTATGATGGGCTTGGTGTGTGTGTGTGTGCACTGATATACTTTTATGATGGGCTTGGTGTGTGTGTGGATATGCTTTTGTGATGGGCTCGGGGTGTGTGTGTGTGCGTGTGTGTGTGTGTTTTATGCTTTTATGATGGGCTTGGTGTGTGTGTGTGTGTGTGTGTGTGTGTGGATATGCTTTTGTGATGGCCTTGGGGGGGGTGGTGTGTGTCTGTGTGTATCTGTGTGTGTGTGTGTAACTGGCAGGTTCAGTGTCTTAGTCTCTGCCCCAGCACCTGGGTCATCCCCTTAATAACGAGGAGCCTGTTCAGCTGTGAACCATGCATCCAGTGGCAGGGACTTCCGCCCAGTCTGAAGGTTGAAAGAACCCAGCACATCCTGAACCGCAAAGGGCTTCCAGAACACCGTTTGCAAGTTTCTAAATAAATCCATGCTCAGCCATAGCGTTTTTCCATGTTTTGATGGAAGTAACTGCCAAAGGAGGTGTTTAGTCTATTTAAATGTATTTATAGAGAAGAAGAAATATACACAGAAAAGAAATAACATACAAACCTACTGGCCACCCAAACCCCAAAATAGTATCCGCTTTTTTTCCTCCCCTCCTAAATCTAAAGTATATTCAGCTATCAGGTAACCACTAGTGAGATCAAAATTTTAGGATTGAGGAAGATGAGTGATTGGGTTTCAGGATTCTGAGTTTTCCAACTCGTGCTTTTGGAAGTATTTTGCATGTGAATGAAAACGACGGTTAAGCCCCAAATGGCCTCCTGCCCTACTGGAACATTAGACATTCCTTTTGCTCGAGGCTATTCTTTGAACGTTGAATTCATTAGGTTTTAAAAGCCCCCTGTTATTCTAGCTGTGGACAAACAGACTCAGATAAAAGGTGAACATAAGAACCCCCCGTGATTCTGCCAAATTTCCACTGAGGAAAGGGAAAGCACAATAGGGGGCTTGCAAGCAGGTGGCCCAGAGGGGTCCTGGCATGCAGTGTCATGTACCCAGTGTCTCAGGAGCAGCCTGGGTTTGCCAAGAGAATGGCGTTAGAAACTGGTTTTGACTCCATGGTGTTCAGCCACCTCTTGAAACACCACCCCGCTGGCGCACGCTGGGCCAGGATGGTCAGAGCCAGTGGACTAGGGCCTGACCCACCGAGGGGCCTGGGAACCAGATCTCCACCTGTTCTCAGGCTGCCGCAGACCCCTCCCCGAGGGGATCCCACTCTGCGGGACTGGAAGCTTCTCCAGCTTATGTCTCAGTCATGTTGGCCTCCCACATGTGGAAATTAGGCAGTCACCCCCGACCCAGAATCTTCTCCTGCTCCCCTGGGATCCACACACCAGTGTCAAAAGAACGGGGCCTGGCCCCTGGGCTCCGACCCTCAGGAGTGTGGCCAGCCACTCCCAGACACAGAGAGGAGCGCCCCGGTTGGGCAAAGCTTCGGGCCAGGAGACACAAGAAGATGGTGGGTGAGCGGTTCTCTCCCGAGGCTCCCGGCTCTCTGGACCCTGACACCATCCCCTGCCTCGGCTTGGGCAGGCCTGGCCTTGCTGGGCAGACAGACCAGGGTTTTGTTGAGGTTTCCTTCTGCAGCCATGCTAACAACAGGTGCAGGGGTTCTGCTACCGAAAATAGAGCCTGGAAGGAAGGAAGTGGCCAGGCCTAATAGCCGGTGTGAGCAAAAATGTGAAGTCTGTCCAAGAACTTGAGTCATTCCATGGAAGGGTTGGAAGGCTCGAGATGTGGGACATGTCAGAGTTCACACGGTCTAAAAGCGTTTTCTGGAGTCCTTTGGGCAATTTCTTAAGAAGAAAAGCAGCCCAGGTGGTGCCTCTGTTCCCCTAAGCACACTGCCCTTGGGCGGCTTCCCTGTATCTGCTTTGTAAACACGTTCAGACGGCTCTTGCAGTCTCTGAGGAATGCATTGTGCTGGATTGTGCAACTCCGGCTCCGTTAACCCCTCACACACACAGCCTGAGAAACGCTGCCGTCACATGGCACAGTTGATTTTAGCAACACAACTGTTTTTGCAGGTGCTCAACAAACTCCAGGGTGACAGCATCGCTAAGTTTTGGTTTGGGTTGAGAAGAATGTTTGAAAATCTAAACATCCAAGCATTCAACTGCATGAATCATCGGGGAACGAAACTCTCCAAGATGATCCATCTACTGGAAGCTTAGGTCGTAGAACTGAGCATGCTCACATTCTCCAGTTCTCGGTAATGCACCAGATCAAAGACGTTATTTTGAACCACAAATTATACTTGAACTAGATGTCTGAAATTTCAGGATAATGTTAGCCACTAGAGGCTGGAGAGGGGAGGAGGGGAGGGGGGAGTTGTTTCTGGTTTGTGATGGCTAAGTATTTATTTATCCCTAGAATTAATATTGATAAATATTCTCAATAGAATTCACTCTTCTGTCTCCCAACAACATTATAAACAGATTTCCCTTGCCTTCCCG